CTTTTTTCTTTCTTTGGGCGGCGTGGAGGAGTCTGTTGTAGGGGAAGAGTTTGTCGTCTCTGGCGTGGGCGGACTGGTGTGGGCGATCTGAGCAACGTGGGCGGCGTGGGCGGCGTTCTTCATGACCGTAGCAGCGAGTGTGATGGGCGTGAGGAGACCCGGCACGGGCGTGACCAAGCCCGCGGGCGTCGAGAGGGGCTTCATCTTGGGCAGGATCCTCGGCAAGTCGTCCAGGGTCTTGAACTTCTTGGCGGGGGGCGTCGGGGACTCTGAGCTGGTGACTGTGGGGGCCGTGGGCGTGCTGGCCGAGGGCGTGCCCATCGTCGAGCTGCCGATGGACATGGGGATTCCCGAAGGCGGCGAGGCCACGTGGAGGGGGTTCTGCTGAACGCTCGGGGAGCAGAATTTGCGCTCCATCGCCTCTAGGATCTTGGAGGTGTCCTTGTGTCTCTCGGAGGAGTCGGAGAGGCCCTTGATCTGGAGGCTCTCGGCCGTCTTGAGGAAGGACGCCAGATCCTGCTGGTGGACGTTGATCTCCCCGCGGTACATGAAGGACAGCAGCGCCTCCAGGTCCCCGGCGCGCACATCTCGCATGAAGATGATGGGGTGCTTGCAGGGGTTCCCGAGGAAGAGCGCCTGGAAGTACGGGCTGCAGGCGGAGAGGATGACCTTGTGTGCGGCGAAGGTTCTGCCGTCGCAGGCGAGGGTTACGTCTGTGAAGGCCTCCTGCTCGTAAAGCTGGTCGAAGACGGTGACCAAGTTGCTCTGGTGGTTGTTCCACTTGAGGAGAAATCGCTCAGCCTCCATCCTGCCGCTGCCCACCGGCCCTGTGGCTGGACCTGCCGATCGCAAGGAAGCAAGTTAGAGACATTGAGGCTAGAGACTGTAAAATATATAAGTAATGATGATTTAATATCGTTGTTCAATAATAAAAAATAATATTTAATTAATAATAAGTGGGGAACACGGATGAGTAAATAATACACAAACACTGTATCGACAATCGGTATAAACCCCCTGTGACACACACGCACACACATACACATTTGCACACACAAAACCTACATATACAGACATACAGTCACAAACAAACACACACATACACGCACACAAAAGCAAAAGCAAAATCACCAGCTCCTCGCAAACGGACATTACCTAAAGTGCACCAGATAAGATCGGCCATGACGAAGGAACCCGAGAATCCCCAGCCTTCCTCCCAATCCTGGTTCCCGATCTGCAGGGCGTCGGGTCGGGTCCGTACCCTAACCCCGCCCTAAGAACACTATCGGTTGCAGGTCCTCGCCTTGCAGAAGAAACCTTGCGCACTCATTTTGATAGTAGCGCCCAGGCCTTCTGCCCGAGGCCCGGACTGTTTCCAAACGGCGGCTTTGTCCAACCCGAATGCGGCTCTGAACACTAATAAGGGACTTTCCAGAATATTCTCAACGAAGAACAGGACGCAAAAAAAAAAAGAATAAGACTAAATTCAACAAACTCCATACACCCATCGCGTCCTATTTTTCTTCCCCAAAGCAAAATGGAAGTTTCGAGTGGAAATTTTATTTACCAACTTTTTTCCTCTTACAGGCAAGCCCGGATGTTATTTTTGGCAACGCGAAAACAGCCAAACTTCCTGATAAGCCAGAAAAAGAATAATATAGAAGGAAAAAATGTGACTATGAGTTTGAGTCCTGTCCAGACTTACAAGTCTTACTAATTATCTGCTTGGACCCGCGCGATGGATTACATACATAACAGCGCATGAAGAAGGGTGGGGTGGGGGTGGGGGTAAGGGGGTGAGAAGTGGTGGTGGAGGTGGGTGGGTGGTGGTGGTGGTGGTGGAGGAGGGGGAGGGGAGGGGGAGGGGAGGAGGAGGGGGAGGAGGAGGGAGGAGGAGGAGCAGAAGAGGGCAGAGATTACATACATAACAGCGCATGAAGAAGGGTGGGTGGGGGGTGGGGGGGTAAGGGGGTGAGAGATGGTGGTGGAGGGTGGTGGTTGGTGGTGGTGGTGGTGGTTGTGAGAGGGGAGGGGGAGGGGGTGGGGAGGGGAGGAGGGGAGGGGGAGGGGGAGGAGGGAGGGGAGGAGGAGGAGAGGAGGTGGAGGAGAGTGAGGAGGTGGAGGAGGAGGAGGAGGAGGAGGTGGAGGAGGTGGAGGAGGATGAAGGGAGGAGAGGAGGAGGAGGAGGAGGAGGAGGTGGAGGAGGAGGAGGAAGAGGAGGAGAGGAGGAGGAGGAGGAGGAGGGGAGGAGGAGGAGGAGGAGGAGGAGGGAGGAGAAAGAAGAAGAAGAAGAGAACGAGAAGGAGGAGGATAAGAAAAAAGGAACGAGGGGGAGTGAAGAAGAGAGAAAAAAAAAAAGAGAGAGGGAAGGAAAAAGAAAGGTGAGAAGTGGAAAAAAAGTAAAGGAGAAGGAAAAAGGAGAAGGAAAGAGGGAAAAAACGAAAAGAAAAATAGGAAGTAGAAGTGACGAAGACAGCTAACACGGAGATACCACCAACGACTCCCAAAAACCCAATCCGAATACCAACAACATGCGGCGACGTATCCCCAAAAAAACACACAACCCTGTCTTCGCTATCGCTTGCGGACGAACACAAAATCAAAAGCAACGCTCTGGCCTGTGCTTCCCATACCGGTTTTGCTCAACTGACTAAATAATACCTCAGGGCGCCTTAATTCCGTGCCAAGAGAGAATTTATGCGAAAACATGGGCGGGGAATGCCACTTTCTTTGGGGTAGCTTAATTCGAATGCGTGTATTTGAATATACCCAATCAAATGAGGTTTGGATCTGTAAGTGAGGGAGGGAGGGAGGGAGGGAGGGAGGAGGAGAGGGAGGGAGGGAGGGAGGGGTGGGAAGAGAGGAAGGAGAGGGAGAGGGAGAGGGAGAGGGAGAGGGAGAGGGAAGGGGGAGGAGGGAAGGGAGGGAGAAGGAGGAGGGAGAGAGAGAGAGAGAGAGAGAGAGAGAGAGAGAGAGAGAGAGAGAGAGGAGAAAGAGAGAGAGAGAGAGAGAGAGAGAGAGAAGAGCACTCGTCCTAGATTCTCCTTAAATAACTTCTTCCCGAGTTCCAAGATAAATGGGGAAAAGAAAAGAGAGAGAAAGAGAATACCAAAAAAAAAAAAAAAAAAAAAAAAAAAAATACACGAGCTGCAAGGCCGCCTTCCAGCCTCTATATGGTATCGATAAAAGATCTCAATTTTGCAAACGATAAACCTTGGCTCAGTATGTGGTTCAGCTGAAATTACTGCCTCGTGGAGTGTCATCCCCACAGCCTCAAGATAAGAACGTGGATTGCCGTGGGAAACAACCTCGAATGAATATAACGACGTAATGGATAACTAATGGAATGAGAAATGCATTTTGAGTGAAGAGAAAAGAAAAGAGATCTTCAGGATCTTTTTCAGATTTCTTCACGGATGTTGGATAAAGAAAACTTGATCTCTAATATCATTGACTGATTAATCAAGCGTGAAGATTCCTTTATCGTGATTCGTTGAACCTACTGTACCTATCATCATCAGATACTAATACAATAAGCATGATGATAACCCCTAATTAAACATGACAATGACAAACTTTCCTAAATCGTGTCTCACATGTACAGAAGCCACGCTCTCTCTCTTTCTCTCTCTCTCTTCTCTCTCCTTCTCTCCTCTCTCTCTCTCTCTCTCTCTCTTGTCCGCCGCTTTCCCTCCCTCTCTTCCCTCTCCTCTCCCTCTTCCTCTCTCTCTCTCTCTCTCTCTCTCTCTCTCTCTCTCTTCTCTCTCTCTCTCTCTCTCTCTCTCTCTCTCTCTCTCTCTCTCTCTCTCTCTCTCTCTCTCTCTCTCTTTCTCTCTCTCTCTCTCTCTCTCTCTCCTCTCTCTTCTCTCTCACCCCTCTCTACCTCTTCCTCCCTCCTTCTCCCCCTCTCCACCCGGTCCTCATCCCCACAACGAAAGAAAAGTGGGCAAGACACGAGATCACAAGAGCGATTTTCCCAGAGCCGCCTCCCCCCCTCTCCCTTCCCGCCTCAGTCTGTCTTCCCTCCTGGATCTCTCTCCCTGCACGCGGCTGGTTGCGCCCTTCGTGCCACGCCCAGAGAGATGCCGACCGCGATCCCTATAACCTTGATTCTGACTTACGTTGCTCGGAGCCAGTTTCGTTCTGTACCGGTGTTTACGTAAGATTTACGATCATGACAAACGCTACCTATTTCGGGACGTAATAACCAGATTAAAGTGGAAGTTAACCTCTCGCGCTGTCTTTGTTCACAAATTGGTGAAAAAAATTATGTAATGTCACTTTCCCTTCTTATGAACATCAACAGAAACAGGCGTTTTGTCACTCAAGGGGACCCCGAAGCAGTAAAGTTATGTGTATATACTCCATCGCCTATTTGATTTCCCTTTCAGATAATTATTAAGTCTCTTGATTTATTGGATAAGAACGTTGCAAGTCAAGTTCAATTAATCCCATTCCTTCAGCAACCACAATAAAATAAAAACAAACCTGGGATATGACGTAATAGTAAACATGGATCAGCACAACACGGCAAAAGAAAGAAAGACAAAATAATTAAGAAAATTGTACGAGATCAGAGACATCAAAAGACA